AAGGAGGACAGAGAGGGAAAGAGAGGAGGGGAGAGGGAGATAGAGAGAGGGAAAGAGAGGGAGAGAGAAAGGAGCAGAGGCTAAAACAATGAAAGACAAGCACAGAGACAGAGAGAGACAGAGACAGAGAGACAGATGCCAATAAAGTGAAAGACAGAGAGACAGGCCAAGAGAGTGAAAGACACATACACAGACAGAGACAGAGACCGAGAATGAAACACCCCCCGCCCCCCCACACACATACACACATACACAAAGGGAGAGACTGAGAGACAGAGAGAACCAGAGAGACAAGAGAGACAGAAGGAGGCTAAGAAAATAAAAACACATGCACATAAATACACAGACTGAGAGCCAGAGAGAGGGCAGAGACACAGACAAAGAGAGACAGACAGAGGTCCAAAGAGTAAAAGATACACACATAGGCTCACGCATACATACACAGGAGATAAAGACAGGGTCCAAGAGAGTGCGACAGAGATAGATAGATAGATAGATAGATAGATAGATAGATAGATAGATAGATAGATAGATAGATAGATCTCCATTTATAGTCATATCATAATTTCTGAAAAGTGTTGTTCTCTATTTTTTCATTTGATTAGTAAAATACAAATGCCTTCCCCTGAAATTCATTTAACATTTTTGGCTGTTAGACAATAAGGTATTTAAAATTAATGCATTTTTCACATATACTACCTTGACTGAGATGGACATCTGCATGCATAGGATAGTGATACAGTGGGACCATAAGGTGCGTAGTTCAAGAGTCCCATCATGGCTGCAATTCACTGTGAAATATAGTAATTTTTCATTGTGTCTTCACTAAAATTTTAATTTTGAAGGTACTTCTATAAAATGAGTTTTTCAAGAGTAACTTTAGAAACCACTTAAAAATTTTGGACTGAAGGATTTCTGTATCTCTTGTGTATCTCTCGTTAGTTTTATGTTTTTTGAGTTCTATTTCTTTGTGTTTTCTTCTTTTTTTAATCTCCCACATACTATGTTAGTGGTGCTTTTCAGCAAAATTCTATTTTTCTGCTGCCCCTTTTCTCTCCTTCTTTTCTTTCTTTCTGTGCATACCATTTTCAAATGTCTATTTACCTGAATAGCTTGTAATTGGTAAGCCTTTCATTTAGCTAATTGATATAGTCTGTGAATAGTTCTTGTCCAAAGAAAATGTTTAAATAAATTATTTTACTGGTCATTTTCCCAAGACAGAAAACCTGGGAATAACATAGAATTTAAGTGAACCATGTATGAATTGATGGTAAGGTAAGATAGGTAGGTTGGGGGCCTTTCGAGGAAGTGGTATTATGCATCAGTGCTCAGTGAAACCCCAGCATTCAAAACAACACGGCAAACCGAGAGTGGTGGCACATGCCTATAATCTTTGTACTAGGGAAACCAAGGCAACAGGATCTTGATCTGGGCCAACTGAGCAACATAGGGATTGTACTCAGACCCTGAGGGCAGTGAGTGAAACAATAGTGGAATGCTTGCCTAATATGCATAGGGTTCTGGAATCTATCTTTAGCACCATAAAAATAATAAATCAAAAATAAATAAATAAGTAAATATACAATTTTGCACATTTATCTTTTCTTTCTATAGAGTCTCAGGCTATTCTCAAACTTGCTGTGTAATTGAAGATGACTTTTTTTTTCATTTTTATTGAATTTTTGCAAATTTCATGCAATATGTTTTGATCAAATTTAGATCCCCTCCTGTATCTTTACCACCCACTACCTCTGTCCAACTTCATGTACACACACACACACACATAGAGAGAGAGATAGG